CAATTTAGTCCTTCAATTTTTCCTAATCTCCCTATTTCTTCAATTTGTCATTTATTTTAAGTTATTTTAACCAAATTTGAGCCGCATGCTCCTAAACCATAGTAAATACATATGAACATTCAATTCCTCTTTTAGATAACAATTTTTTATTTCAATTTAGTCATTCAATTTTTATAATCTCCTTATTCATTCAATTTGTCATTCATTTTAAGTTGTTTTTTTACCAAATTTAAACCATTTGCTTATATACCACAATAGAATACCATGCAACTTCAATTGTTATTTTTTTTACTAAAGATGTACTCTCTTTTTTATTTAGTCCCTTAACTTTGCATTTTACTTGATTTGGTATTTTGACAACAATTGTTTGCAAATTCTTTCTTCTCATCAATTCCAAGACTCATTTATACTCTAATTAATTTACCCTCAATATTTCTTTAAATATATTATGAATAAATTTTGTAACACCCTAACCAATACGACACACAGTCGATCGATCAAAATTCCACACGGAACCATAAGAGTGGCTAACCAAACTTTTTCTTTGATTTCTAATTGAAATTGTTTCTTGAAAAATAATCAAAATGAAGTAAAGCAGCCACATTTTCAAAAATAGTAAACATTGTGAGCTCCCAAAAATAATAATTCAAAATATAACACCATCATTTAAAATAGTTATGACTCGAATACACAAAACGGGGTCTACAAATATACATGCCCTCTAAAGAAGAACTTGAGACGTACTATGTTGCACTCGGTCTAGATCTCACTGCTCTAAGGCTTCATTGACTGCTCTTCTACTAACTGTTCTTCTACTAACCTGCCTAAGGAAATAAATTTCAAACGCTGAGCTAAATAGCCCAGTGCCACACTAACAGCTAAGCCATACTAAAAGTGTTCATAAAAATGCTCAAGTTAATTGGTAAAAATGCAACAGTGAGTATCCTAGTATATTGCACTCTTTACTCTATGGTAGACATCATGGGTGGTTGAGGGTTCTGTAACTTGGAACTCACGCACCTCTAGTATACCGAGGATGAGGGCCAAAATCTCTATATTGGACACAACGCCCTCGACTAACCCATCCCTCATGAGCGTCGGGCCTCAGTCTTAGTTAGTCAATTTAAAGTGTCTCGCGCACACCTAAGGATATCTAGACGGATTCTATTGATCGATACTGCTATCATTCTAAAGTAACCAGGGTGTCCTGATCGTTTCTCGAGCGTAAAACAAGGCTAGTTTATTTAATCCTAGTAGTTATTGTTGTTATCCTTCTTATATAAATTATTTTTATCACTTGGAGTCTTATTTGTTGTCATTATGAGTATTTGGGGCACCTCAAATCAAATCCCTTAAACCTTGGATTAATTATCAAAAAATGTTCATAGGTGACAAGCGTCGTAATTGTCAAATTAATAATCATTTTCTCGGATAATTATGCTAAGAAAGTAACATAGAGAAGAAGTGTTCGGTCAATAGGGATTCATAAATTCTAATTCGATTTGATCTTGAACCAAGAAACCTGTAAAACAAGTAAATTAAAAGGAAAGGGGGATTTTAAAGTAAACGAGTAAAATAAAATTAAAGTAAAACTAAGATGCAAACAATAAGGAAAATTAAGAAAAGTAAATTCTAAAGGAATAATAAAGACGAGAAATAGCCTCCAGCTTCACTTCGCCTCAATCCATCTCGATCACTGAAATAGATTTTACTTTGGATACTTACCGATTACAGTCTACAAGGCCCAACCCTTGTAACTTGTTATTCTTTATTGTGAATTGATTTCCAAAGACAATCATTGAAAATTAGCCCTTGTTTGGACTAATATCGACTATCGATATTAATGCCAATACTAGTTTTGAATTAGAAAAGCTCGTGCTCGGATTATAGTGTCTGGATGAGAATTGAACCCGATCTTGAATTCCCTTAGCGAACCACACTAACATTGTTCTTAGGGAATTGCATTTGCTATAAGGTGATTCTCCCCCCAACGTAGATCACAATGTCGAACAAACCAATGTGTTATATACACTCATTGGATTGAAGATATTGAGATGTTGAAGAAAGGTTGATTGTCTCTCCTTGTTTGTAAAAAATCAAGAAAGAAATCTAAAGATGTTAGGTACATTTTCATTCTCACGAGACTTGGTTGAGTTGTCGCTCAGCTATCAGCTAATGAAAAATTTAGCCAAGCATGGTAGAAATCATGTGGCATGTAGAAAGAGAGTAGATGGAGAAGAAAATATTTTTATTGAAATAAAGTAAAACAAAGAAAAAGTCAGAAGCAATTCTATACTGAATTCTAAACTTGTACCCCCAAAAGCTTCACCGTTAGGGGCATTTATAGTTTTGAGTTAACCTAATGAAAATAAAATACTAACTCTTAAAATATTCAACTCTTAATTCTAACAAACTAAAAACCATAATTAATAAATATTAAAAATCCTAATAAAAATTCTATGCAAACTAAATTTCTAATAAAATAATAAAATTTCAAATGTTTGAATTGAATTACAACTTTAAATTCCTATAGAATTATGGTTCGCCTTGTTTTCCTCCTTTGATCTCGCTACTTGGAATATTTAATTAGAGTTTGTGCTTGGTCGACCTTTGAATTTGAGTTGGGATCGACTTTTCCCAAATAAGTAGGAAAATCTGTTTAATTTGTTTTAATTGTTTTCCTGAAAAATAGAGTCCTACACAAATTTGAATCAAAACCAACCCAAATTAGCGCTATAAAGGAGTTAACACGGTTTAATTGATACAAATATTAACCAAATAAATCACTCATCAGTAAGTACTGATATTGACCCTTCAGTATTAATAATAAACATTTTTGTATCTATACCCACCTGCTCGTATCGATACCTCCAGACTGATAAGGTTATTTAAGTAGAGTAGTATTGATACTCTAGATTGAGTGTCGATACTTTGGTACGGGGTATCGATACTTGCTTGAGTATTGATACCAAATTTTTGTTCGATGTTTTGAAAAAAAATCCCCCAGTATAGTACCCAATGAATGAGTATCGATACCCATCTATAAAATTATCTAATTTAAAACCTGGAAGAAGAATAATATCAATATTGTTCTTACAGTATCGATACCATCGCTACAAAGTGCCATGTTTTGGCATGAAAACACTTGTCTAGCCACCCAAAAAGTCCTATTGAGGTCCCCAATTAGTGTTTAAGTGTTTTATTATTTAGGGGTCATAAAGAAGGCTTTGAAACATACTATAACACTAAAACAGATTACCATGGCATTGCTCAATATGCTTCAAGTTAATCTCTTAAGCTAAAATGCATCTAATTACTCACAAGTGATATGAAGGAGTTGTAAATATGTTACCTTGATTCTTGGTTGCTAAAAACGCCCTCAAATCACTCAAGAGAAAACTCTCTTTTCCTCTTGCTCTTAAGCTTTCTCCTAGTTCTTTCACTAATCAAAGGTAAGGAAAGGTGTACTAACTCAATTAAGTGGTTGGATTAATGCTAAAAACGTTTCCCATAACTTGAATCCAGTAGAACAAGCCAAATTCATCTATTCTCTTGAACCTCTCAAAAAACCATTTTTGGAACTAAGTGAAAAACTTGAGAAATGGAGCTTGAATTAAGCTTGAAGAGTGGAGGTTAATAATCTTACCTGGTTAACCAAACTTACACTTGAAACTCATGTAATCTCAACTTGGAAAGGAAGAAGAAGAGAGAAAACATGGAAGGAAGAAGAAGAGTATCTGGTGAGAAAATAAGTGGGAGTAGCTCACATTAACCATATAAAAATAGGGGTTTCAGCTTTCAATTTAAACTATGGGTAAATTACACTTTTAGTCCCTTTTCTTTTAGTTTCAACTTAAAATCATCCTCAACCCTTGGGCCCAACTCAAGCCCACTCTCTTCTTAAATAAGTCCAAACTATTCTAATGGGTCCTTTGGCTCAATTTATATGTCTCAGATTGACCCGACTACTAACTCAGGATCAGGGCGTTACAAATTTCATAATTTTAGGTTGTATTTGATATATTAAATAACATTATAAAATGAAAGAAATATATATATCATGGTTAGATAAGTCAAAAAATTGGAACAAATCATTGTCATAAACTATAAATAATTATAATAAAATTAGTATAGAAATTTGAATAACTCGACTCGAATTTCTTAAACTCAACTCGATTTGAAAAAATTTCTAGTTAAATTCAAGTTGTAAAATACGACTCGTCAACTTAAATAACTCAAAATTTTTGACTCGACTCGATGTATCCTCACCCCTAGATTCTCATTAGATTTTAAAATAAACGTCTTGTTCAAATTGTTAACGTGAATTTAAAATTCATTAAGTTGTGTTTTAAGCCCTCAAAATTTATTAAATTGCAGATTTGACCTTTCAAGCTTGTAGGGTGTCGAAGCCTTGCATATGGTATAGATACTAGCAACATTTCATTATTTCATAGAATTTTGAAACTTAAAATGGTATTAATACCCATATGTTGGTATCAATACCTAATACTTTAAATATTTCTTAGTAAACCAAGAAGTTGTATCAATATCCAAGATATATATTGAAACATATATTCCTTTAATTACGAATCATTAGTTTTATTATTAATAAGTTTCCTTGTTCAAGATAATTTCAAGCATTGCATTTAGGGTAGGCACATCATATTTAGGATAGGGACGTGCTCATAAAAATTAATTTTCTTCAATTAGTTAGTTGTTCATTTTATTAGTCGTGTCTATTATGAAATTTTATTTGTCTACTCCAATAAAAAGATATTATTAATATATGTGTGTTCAACTTAAAAAAATATTTATAGATCCTCTACTGATTTAAAATGGATCCTACGAGTATACTCATTCATCCAAATCAAATCTCAAACATTAAGCTAAGGTGATTACGAAGTAGTATCTGTTCTAAATACTCTAAATCATTTGACAATGAATGTTCAATCAACCTGCTGCAACACTGATGCTCAAATCCGTGACATCTAAGAACAATAATGATTTCTTTAATCACTGAGGTAAGTTAGTTTGTGTTGTTTAGTTGTAATTTAAATCTGTTATAGGGCTGATTATATATGTTTGGGTTAGTTTTTGATTTATTACTTGTATAGAATATGGATATTTTTGCTATGTTTTTTTCTTTTTTTAATATGATTAATAAAGTCCTAGTACTCTTTTCAGGGATGGACAGAGAGGTGGATGGTGCGATGGATTGAGAGGGACGGGGGGGGTAGTTGCCCTTGAAATTTTAAAATTACAATATATTTTAGATTTTTCCTATATATTTTTTTATTGAAAATATATTTCGCCCCGAAATTTTATAAGTTCAAATCCACCCCTGAAAATTTAATTCCCCCGTATTTTTCCCTTTCCGTTGACTTGATGAAGTAACAAATGATCGAGTATGAGAGGATTTTTAACAATATTCCTCTTATATTTTAAAAAATATTTAATTAGAGATTATAATTTAATTTTATATTTTCTCTAAATTGTAAAACATATATGCTCGACATAAACTGTGTGTATAAATACAACATTCAAGTATTAACATAAATCGAATATAAGGAAAGCTTAAATTAGAATAAAATTTGATGGAAATCAAAACATAATTATACATAATAAAATTTAAAGTTATAATTAATAGTTAATGACTTTTTATTTTTTATGTTTGTAGTTGAAGCTAAGTTAATTAATGAAAATAAGTATATAACTTTATGTTAGTTATATCCAGGTTGAGGGTTCTTCGTGCAGGAGTCCTGGCGGGGAAGGCGATGAGAAGGATGGGAAGGATGCTCTGCCGGTGGTCGGTGACGAGTTAGCTTTCCACCAATACGCTAACTTGGGGTTCATCTACACCGCCGGCGGCACCGTGAACGCTGTGAACAATCACGGATCGTCGCGGATATCCTGGGTTATTTCCACAAACTCGTCGTCGTCTTCCTCACAACGGCGGTGCCTGTGGAGTTAAGCTCGGCCATGGTGATTCTGGTGGGAGATTGAATCTTGCACTCCTTTTAGAACCTTTTTTGTTTGAAACATAACCTCCATTTACACTCATGGTCCACTAAAACTCTCTACTTTCGCTTGTTATACTTTAGTATCCGAATTGTTCACCGAATAAGCTCCCCCTCAGTGATTGTTCCTCATTTTCTTCCCTTTTCGAGTTAAAGATTCGAAGAGAAAATTAAAACAAAGCTTAAAGTGGACTGTCATCAAAATTTTCATGGAAAACAAGGACTATTAAAATATTAAGACATGCCAGTTTACTGAGACATGTCATTCTTCATAGTATTTTTGACAGAAATAAATAATTTTATCTTTTAAAAATAATAATTTAACAATAAAACATTTTAGGCTTAATGTAACAATAAGAGCTCAAACTATACTAAACTTTAGGTGTCTAGAAATTTTCGTTTAAAATAGGTGTCTAACGTTTTATCGTTATACTTATACATGCCTAACGTTTTTTATTAATTTTTAGGTGCTTAAGCAGTAACGAACATTAAAAAACTGTTAACTAACATGTGTCATGTTTATATTTAGGTTTAATGCAAAAATAAGTATTCAAAACTATACTCTAAATTAACAAGTGCCTAAAGAACTTTTCGCTAATAAAATGTCTAATATTTTCGACGTTACACTTTTAGGTACTTAGGTTGTAACGACCATTAATTTCAATCGGTATATAACATGTGCCATGTTGATATATTTTTAAAAAATATTATTAAAAACTATTTTTAGGAAAAAAATATATTCCCTCTCGTTTGTGCAAATTTTCCCCTCCCCGGTTGCATTAAAAAAAACCTTCATCGTCCTATAGATCCCTAAATTTAATTAGAGTGAGAATGATAATTTGAGACTATGGTTAAGGATAAGAGTATTATGTTTTGAATTTAAGTTTGGATTACGAAATTAAAGGAATTGAGTTGACAACAAGATGGATGATCGACAGTGAAAGTCCGACAACGATTGAGTGGTCGTTGGCGAAGTCAACCGGTGATGATTCATGACAACCGGTAACGGACTTAAAATGAAAGATCTTAGGGTTATAGGTTTTTTTGTGATATTAGAAAATTTTAGTTTTTTTAAATAACTAATAATATTATTAAGTTTTTTTAAAAAAGTAAAAATTGTAAAAATATAAATATGACACGTGTTACTTAATAATTTTTTAACAATCACGAATGCGTAGTCACCTAAAAGGATAACGTCGAAAATGTTATACATCTAATTTTAACGAAAAATCTTTAGACATGTAAAGATGACATGTGTTAATTAACGATTTTTTTAATGATGGTTATTGTGTAGGTACCTAAAAGTGTAACATCAATAATATTATAGACCTATTTTTAACAAAGAATTCTTTATATACCTAAAGTTAATTTAGTGTATAGTTTTTACATTTATTTTTGTATTAAGTTAATATTTTTATAATCATGAGATTTTTTTATTTTTTATATAAAATTTTTAATGTTTTACTTTTGTTTGGAAATGGGAGAATCTAATTCAACTGGGAAGGTTCTGTTGGATTTTGTAAAACTAATGCTATGGGATTTACGTACGCAAAATTTGAGTTTGAGCACGAGTGGATAAACAAACAATTAAAAGCTTCATTTAAGTTTAATATAGAATGTCTATTTCCGTACAAATTTGACCTGACCTTTTGATATGAATCATAAATTGATTAAATTTATGATGTATTGATAATTAATATAATTTTATTTTTAATTTTAATTAATATCAAAAAATTTATTTAATTTAAATATTTTTATCTTTTCCCTACAAAAAAATAAAATAAAAAGAGGAGAGTTCCCTATGGGTAGCTTGGATTCGTTCCTATATTATTAAAAGCTCGGACTTTTGGCAGTTGAACTTACCTTCTAATGCTAGCTGATACTTCAGGAGATTGCTGAAGTTGAGACCTGCTGCTCATCATTTATTTGTTAATCGGGACAAAGAACTTAGCACAAGGCAGATTTGGGAGGCCATTCGCCCTGAGGCACCAAAGGTTGTGTGGCATCATCTAGTTTGGTTTGTTGGACGTATCCCTAAGTACTGTATTATTCTTTGGATGGTAATCCTGGATAGACTTCCTACCAGGATTAGGCTGTTGCGAATGGGATTTGCCATAGATAATGATAAGTGCTTGTTATGTAACTTGGAGTCTGAGACACGGAACCACTTATTCTTTGAGTGTGACTACGCGGGGAATCTCTGGAAGGCCATTCTGCAGCTCTGTGGTGTTAATCGTCGAGCTTCTCACTGGGATGGCGAGCTTGCTTGGGCCACTCACTGTTTTAAAGGCAAATCCCTCATCACGCGAGTGCTTAAACTTGCTTTGTCGAGCCATGTGTACTGGATATGGAAGGAGAGAAATGACAGGCTGTTTGGGGGAGTCCCTAGACCGTGGTCTACTATCCTTGAGGATGTAAAAGCTGTCGTACGAATTAGGTTGCGTGGTTGCTCTATCAACGTAGCAGATCCGAGGAACGCTACTCTCTGCGCTAGCTGGAACATTGCGTGATATCTTGAAGTGCTTCCCCCTCTGTTGATCACCTTGTACTGGTTTTTGGTTATCTATTGCTAGGGGCTTTTGTTTTTAAAACAATTTGTTTCTTTGTAAAGTACTGGTTCATATGTAGCAGTCTTCTGCTTCTCTTGGGTAATAAATACAGATTATCCAAAAAAAAAAAAAAGAATGAGTGGAGCATAGTTCGTTATTTTCTCCTGATCAATTTAGATTAAATTTAATTCAATTTAAAATTAATTTTGTTTTTTTAGTGCGAAAGATGATCATGAAAAGAAAAATGAAAGTAAGATAGTTCTGACTAAATTAGTATAATATTGAAATGTTTGGAATTAAATTTCTAAAATTCAAATTAAAATAAAATTTAAAAATATTACATATAACTTTTATCAAGATTCATGCTATTCTTCGTTAATGTTTTAACATAAAATAGTTGACTTCTTTGTTTTAAGTAAAAAAAAAATCGACAATAAAATATTCTCTAGTCAAGGATTATATTTTATCTATTTATTTTTTATATAGAAATTTTCATTGTTTTACTTTTGTTTCTAAACGTGAAAAATCTAATTCAACGAGGAAGCTTATTTTGGATTTGGCTTAATACAACAATAAGTGTTTGAATTATGACTCGAAAAACGTTTTAGTGTTTAAAGAATTTTTCGTTAAAAATGTTTGTCTAATGTTTCAAACGTTATATTTTTAGGTGTTCGGACGGTAATCATTGTTAAAAATCACATTTAAGTGACATCTATCACATTCTAATAATTTTGAGAATTTATTTAAAAAATAAAAATACTTTTTTGTAAAAAAAAACCCCAAAATCCAAAACAACATTAGCCCCCGTGCTCCCTCCTCTCCCTCTCATTTTCCCTTTCCATAGTTGTCGATTAGCTAGAGGTGATCGTCACCGCCACCGTCATCAGTATTGACGTTGACCCCGATCAAACCCTCATTGATATTTCATCGTAATATGTCACCGTTTGTCGTGGAGAAACATACAAAAGTTAAACATTAATTTTTAGAGAAAAAAAATCTTTAAACACTAAAACGTTTTTCGATGCATAAATCAAACATTTATTTTTGTATTAAGCCTTTGGATTTGTTAAACTAATTAATAATTAAAGTACTGCTATGGAATTTTTGTATGCAAAATTTATACTTAACATAGAAATAAGTGTAAAACTATATTTAAAATTAATATTTAGTGTATATAATTTTCGTTACAAACATGTGTCTAACGTTTTTCGTTATACTATTAGGTGGGACCATTAAAGAAAGTTAAGTGACACTTGTCACATTTAGATTTTTTATAAAATATTTTTAAATAATATTTATTTTTTGAAAGAAAAAAAAAAATATAAATATGATATGTGCTACTTAATAAGTTCTTTTAATGATAAATATCTAAATATATAATGAAAAAAATAAATACATTTTTTGAACAACGACAACTGAATTTCATTAATAAAAATAGACGAATCAAAATTACTACGCATCCAAAGAGAAAATTGGAGACAATAGTAACTAAAAACTCATACATAAAATTGAAATATTATGCCCAAAGATACGAAGAGAATAAAACTTTCCAAACATCAAAATAATCTAGTAACCTTCATAAAACTTATTGTTTTTGTCGAACGAGACTCTTTACAATGTGATAAAAAAGTGGTGAGCGAACCAAATAATTTGTCAGGCTGCTTTGCTACACAATTCTAATTATATCGGCAAACAACCATTTACAAAAGAGGGGATATGACAATACATGACAACCGACAAGCCAATCAGAAAAAATAAATGTCGTGAGGATATTTGTAGAAGCACCAACACAGCCTCATAATTATGCGAAAAACTTACCGAAAACCATAAGAAACGGACCATGAGAGCTGCGAAAAATATGTCGTGAGGATATTTGTAGAAGCACCAACACAGCCTCATAATTATGCGAAAAACTTACCGAAAACCATAAGAAACGGACCACGAGAGCTGCGAAAAATGTGTCACAAGGATAATGTTTTTTATTTAAAAGTGAAAAAACTCAATAAAAAAACAAAGACAATATGAAAAAGAACAATAAAAATAAAAATCACCGACGGTCGACAACCAATATTAAGATTGATACCGTCGCCGGCTAAACAAAAAACAAAGAAATAAAAGAAGACGGCACCAAGAATATTGATAGAAAAAATTTGGTTAAAAAAAAAAGACGACACACGAATATTATTAAATATATTTTTAAAACTAAATTTAATTTTAAATATAATTTAAACAGTTATTTTTACATTAAGAACAAAATTTAAGAATAAGTGGTTCAACAAATAATTAAATGTGTAAAATAAGTTTAATAAAGATGTATATTTCCGTACAACTTTGACCCACCCTTTTGATATGAATCTTGAGTTGATTAAGTTTGCGACCTACATACAATTAATTTTATTTTAATCTTAATATATATCAAATTTTGTATTTAATTTAACTTTTTTTAATTTTCTCCATGTGAAAAATATGAAAGATAACGAAAGATCATAAACGCCAGATATCTAAGGTTCGTTTCTTTAGCTTAAAATATTTTTTGGAAAATATAGATATTTTTTGGAAAATATTTTTCGTAAAATGAATTACATTTTTTTAAAAAATATTTTACGATATTTGAAAGAGATTGTTTAAATCATTTTCCACTAGTTAATGAATTTTTTTTAAAATTATTTATTATAAATATTAAATACAATAAAATATTATTTATCATAAAACTTAATATATTATTTATAAAATATTAGAAAATTTTATTTATTATTATTAAAATATTATTTCTATAATTTTATTAATAAAAATATTAAATTAGTACATTTTATTGAAATAAATGTATTATAAATTATATTAATTATTTATTAAAATAATATTATTATATTATATTTTAAAAAGTATTAATTGATATATTTTAAATATCTTTACTTAAATATTATTAGATTATTATATTAATATTAAATACATAAATAATATTATTTATTATTAATAATTTAATAATTATTTGAGAAAATATTGTTGTTTAAAATGATTCAAATTCATTTGATCTTTGTATATTTTATATGAACCAAATGATTTTAATGATTAGAAAATTTATTATTTTTTTAAAGTTTTGATTTCAAATATTTCATATAAAGGAATATGACATTAACTGTCAAATGATTGAGATTGAGAATTTTTAAAAATTTATTATTTTATATTTATCCCAAATTAATAAAAAAATATCTTTGTATATTATTAGTGTGCCGCTCATCTCTTTTTTTTCGTCTTTGTTGATCGGCGACGACACCAACTTTAATGTTGGCTGTCGACCGCTACTATTCTTTATTTTTTTCTTTCTATACGTATCTTTATTTTTTTGTTTTATTTTCAATAAGTTGTTTGTGCTTGTGTTGCACTTTTCATCTGTTGCTGTGTTGTACGTTTTTATCTACCTTTATGACACATTTTCTTATGCTCTTTGGCATGTTTTTCAGTTTTTTGGCCTTATTTTTTTCTCTAATGATTGATTTGACATCGTCACGACTAATCAAGATGACGCTTATATAATATCTTATGACCTTCTCTACTTTGGACCCTCATATTGGATTTGAATATCTGATTTGCATTTGTGAATAACTTTTCACGTCGTTCGAGTCTGATTTACAGTTTATCGGTGGTCGTTCAATAGCTTAATCCCTTTTGTGGTACGCTTACCGATGCAATCAAATCTTTGTATATCTGTGTTGAGTTTCTTGGTTAGATTTAATATTTCCTTGTATGTTCCTTATGTTATCTTAAATTACTATTTTTGTTTCAATGATTATATGAATTTTTCTCAATTATGTGCTTAATTTATGATTATGGTTGTAAATATTTATTGTAATTTGATATATTTCTTATTTTAAATAAAATTAGTTGTTTCTATAAAAAAAATATCTTTGCATATTTTAATTTAATATTTTTATTCTTCATTTATAAAATTTTAAATCTAATTATTATTTTTATTAGTTTTTATTAAACTATTGATGTGATATTTTAAAATAAAAATATTAACTTGACAACCATGTAATAAAAAAACATTATAATAGATTTGAATTTAACAAAAAAGTTGACAATTTGACCTGAATGTTTTAAATCACATAGGTAAAGGAACTAAATTCAGGACTAAACATATAAAGAGTATAAGGACTTAAAACCTATTTTAACCAACGTTTTTAGTACGTGTCAATTACGTGTCAAGATTCTATCTTTTAATCTGAAACCTAATAAATTTAAGATAAATTACACATTTAATATAAACTATCAATTTTAATTTATTTTATATCTAAACTTTTATTTTTATCAAAATCATACATAATATTTAATTTTTATTTCATTTTAATACATCGTCATTAAAAGCTTAATAGATGATTTACACGTGATACTTTTTTATTGGTAAATTACATCATTCACCACTCATCAATCTTCTCACTACTATTTTAGTCACTAAAATTTAATTTTTTAATTTAATTACTTAACTTCCAAATTACTCTTAATTTAATCACTCCAACTTTCAAATTTATTTTTTTATTTTTAATTATATATTAGTAAAACAATAATAAAAGACATCCTTCTTAGAATGAACAATTTAAAAATTGAGTAGCTAAATTGAAAATTTTTAAACTTTAGTACCAAAATAAGGATGAGAAGATAATTGAGTGATAAATATTATAATTTACCTATAAAAAATATAGTAGCATCGAATTTTTAACAGTAGTGCACTAAAATGAAACAAAAACTAAACATTAGGTATGATTTTAAAAAAAATTAAAATTTAGGTACTAAAACAGATCAAAACTAGTAGTTTAAGTACCGAACAAGTAATTTACCCTAAATTATAATTACTTTTAAATTCGCTTGAAACAAAATCTTTAAAATGTTTCAACAATAATGGTACCTAGTACCTACTAAATTACTTTGATCCTAAAAATGTTCTAAAAATAGGTGAATTGCGA